GAAGAGAACTTTGCAAAGGGAAAAGGGAAGAGCAAAGACAGGAAAAGGGGTCTCACTGGGTCCCAGCAGGATTTGCACTGCAGCATCACCGGCCGTGACTGACTTCTGTGCAACACAGAGTGCCAGCTGACTGCCCAGGCAGATGGGACAGCCAACAGGTAACAATTCTTCTCTTAGCCAGAAAAAGAAGTATTTATTTATTATTTCTAAATGAAGTAAGGTATTTTGTGGCAGTAACAATTCTAGCAAAAACATCAGCAGCAGTATGGTAACAACATTTTTCATACTGGATGTTTAAAAGGCAACAAACTAAGGCCAAGCTGCCCCTGTCCCCTGAACCCTTATAGTTACAGCACAGTAAAAGTGACCAAGAGTGCCTGCTAGTCTGTACCATCTGCGAACCTCCCCTAAACACTTTTTCTTCAGAAATTGAAATAAAAGCATAGGTAGGGCTTTGGTTTCTTATATCAGCTAGAATCAACTTGTATTCTGAACATACAAAAGCAAAAAGTATTGGCTTCTCTCCAAACTACTTTAGCTATCCTACAAATGCACTAAGAATTATTTAGATAATCTTCCAGGCAAGTCACATGAACTTACGGATTTATAAAACACTCTCCGTATCATTGAGGAGTTCGGTAAGGATATCTGAACCAACTGGTATGAACTTCTTTGTCCACAACACAAAGCTTGATTTGCTAGTATTCCTCGATTCAGTTCTCAGATACTTAGCATCTCCTAACCCTGCTCCGGTTTTGATAACTATATATCTACTGGTCTTGAGCAACCAGAAGAGAAGGAACTGCACAGAAATAAGCACTTCCGAATTAATCATCTTTGCCAGGCACTGAAATTCATTTAAAAATAAAATAAAATTAAAAACTTACTGAAGCACAGAATAGAAAAAGAGAGAAGTATCTTTCCTCTCAGCAGCCAGAAAACATTTCTGATCTTTTTTTTTAACATAGAAATAATATCTCTAGGTGCAATTTCCATAGATACTGAACTCTGGCTTGCTTCTACTTCCATGAACCCAAGCAGAATACTTACTAACTTCAGAGCTGCCAAAGCACACTTTGCAAAATCCTACTGAAAAGTCATTTCACTGTTAAACAAAAAAATTAAGCTAGCACTAAAAATGATCAATCATTGAACTGTAAATAATCCTTCAGGAGATCTATATTATATCATCCCTCTCAAACCACTAAAGAGTTCTGACTTCTAAAAGCAATCCTTGGACTGGTATCAAAATTGGCTTATTGATTGAATTATGCATACATGAAAGCAAAATTAGGACAAAAAGGATTTTGTGAAAGCCAGCATTAGAGAAAACATTTTTCACATCCATTTAACACAAACTTGTCACAAGAGCATAATTGCAAACAAAAATGTAATTTACCTATAACTACATCATGGCCATCAACCAGGCCTGCAGAGAACAGCTCCTGAGAAACGCCATCTGCTGTGTCTGTCCAAAAGGTGAAATGAATAAGTATGAGAGCCCACAAAAACAACAAAAAGTATCAGTATCCAATGCAATTTAACAAAAATATATTTAGTTCCAAAACACCCATGGAGGCAGGCTTAAATTCAAAATTTTCTTTAATGAGAAGGAAAAAGATAATTATCTTATCAGCCTCTGCACAGCAAATCGCATGAGATGATGATTTCACTCTTTGCGAAGCCCCTACAAACCTGTCCTGGCCACTAGCATCTCTCCTCTATTATCTAACTACGTATTCCTACAACGTTTACAAGTTCAGTATCTTCAACAACCAAGAAAATAAACTACGTTTTGGTGTGGTTTTCGCTGTTTTCTTTATCCTCTCCATTGTTCTGCATATATGGTTTAGTGGGCATGGTAGTGTTGGGTTGATGGTTGGACTTGATGATCCTAAACGTCTTTTCCAACTTTAATGATTCTGTGATTCTGTGTATGATATCTAGATAGAGATGTGCTATATAGGCTTTCGTGTTTGTTACCAGTGGGGCAAAGGAGTTAGATGAACAGTCATTATTTTGAGCTTTAGGCTTATGATAGCTTTTAAGTACTGTGATCCAGGAAATTCAGAGCTTTGCATCAATTGCTGCACCCAAGTGGGTTAATTCCTAAGTGACTAGTACTTGCTCCTGGATGAAGACTTTAGAAGGCTTAGAGGTAAGTAGGAGGAAGCAGCAGGAACAAGCCTAAATTCCAGCTAAGTCTTAACTGTAATATGGCCTCAACACCAAATATATGCATGGAGCGCATGCTTTGAGGCAGTTACACAGTTGCATTATTTCCTCAAGAAACACACACAGGTGATAAAGAATATAGCTGAGCTAGCTGCAACTTCTGGAGAGCTCTGAAGATGAGAATCCTAGCTGCCTTCTGGCTGTCTCAGTGACTACTAGGAACAGTCCTGGTGTACTCTACTATGTCATAGCCTCTATTTTTTGATCAAGTAAGAATTCTCAGATAGCTTATGTAACTGCTTAGAGAGTATTCAAGTAATTCTTTTGACAAGTGACTAAACCAGGATGCTCTGTACCCAATTAAGTAAGAGATCTCTTTTGTTATTACCCATTGCCAAAATCAATGACAAATGCAGGTAGACAACAGGGAATATATCCATGCACAGAACTACTGCACATGAGAGCTAGTACGATTTACAGGAAGAGAGACACCTCTTCCAGTCTGGATTCATAATTAGGTGGAAACTCTTTGAAGGCTATTCTAAATATAGCAAATACTGGCTTCTGAGAAATATGAAATGTGTTCATAGTTCAAAGGGATGCTGTGTAACAAGGATGACACCTTCTTACTCAACATATCAGCCTCCCATGCATTTCATCCCAGTAATACTTGGTTTCCTTCAAACAAAAGAAAGTTTTAGGAGTTCTTACAATTCTTAGCACTGGAAAGCCAATACAGTTCTACAAGCATGCAGTAGAGTTTAAAGTTTCAATACCAGAATTTCTTTCTGGTGATGATATTAAAGCTAGAGATGCAACTCAACTTTCAGTTGAAGACAGCACTTGAAAAATGGTATGCAGTCCATACTTGTTAACAGATCTTCTTTTATGACTTAGTAATAAAAGGGGAAACAAACTCAAATATTACCAACCATCACCACATATACCTTTATGGCTACTATATTCCATTTCCTACAATGTTTTCCGAATGTGAAAATGGAAACTCCAAAGCTGTAAATATTGCTATACAAGATCTTATATACCACATAGATCATTTCGGTAAGACATGAAATTGATAAAGTATACTGTGGGTCAAGTCTTCTAATATATACTATGCATTATGCAACCTTGCCACTAGAATTTACATACATCTGCTATTCCTGTTCAAGTGAAGTTCAATATAAAGCTCTGCACAGTAGGAAACATTCCAGAGAGGTAGTTTGCATTAACCATAAGCAGTAATCAATTTCTGAAATACCTTTTTGAGCAATAAGAGAATAACTCAATTGAAGGAGCCTTACCTCTACCTGGAGTAAACTCAAACCGTATGTCATTAAGTTCTTTCCTGGAGTTCCTGAAAAACATTCAGTGTATACATTAAAATGTAATGAAGAACAGAACAGAACAACTATTCAGTTCGTACTGAATACCAAAGAATACCTATGGCATTGACAACCACATTTCTGTAGCATGAATTTCCTTGACTTGAAAAACACATCTCTCCCAAAGCACACAGACTAGAGACACTCCATGTTTTCATGACAGTATTTTAGGGAAAACTAACAGAAAGATATGCTTAAGCTGAAAAGTGCCTTCAGTAACCTAAAGGATAAAATAAGGTGCTCTGAAAAATATTTTCCTTTTCATCTTCAAAAGACAGTCTGCCATACTGACTCTATTAGTTCAACATAGTCTGAGTTGTATATACTACCCCTTCTCCTCCAAAAGTAAAAAAATATTCACTTAGACTTAAGGGACAAAGTATCTAGCAAATGTTAAATGTTGAAAAGCAGCATTTGATGCACAATGTTTATACATCTGTTTTGAAATTGGTAGCTTCTTTCACTGACCACCATTGTCTCAGCTGTGAGGTTCTACCTATACAGAAGGTAAGCAGCAGAGTGTGAAAGCCGAAGGTTTTCTGCCTTCCCGTTTGCCACAAAGAGTGCTTTAACCAGTTCAGTGTATGACACAATCTTAAGAGACTTAAACCCTATGTTCAAGAATCCCTTTACAGCCTCATACCATGCTCCAAATCTCCATTCCTTGCATGTTTCCAGCTTCAGTTTTAGTTAATAATTTCTACCATCAATAAAACATTAGTCTCTTCACAAAATGAAGGTCCATCTCATTTTTGGAAATGGCAAGCCATCTGAGCATAGGGATGAACTTAATTGCTGTAGCACAGTCTTTTTCCAATGAATAGCTCAATCCACTTGAAAAGCTAATAGCAACAGAATGTGTTTTGCAGTCCATTATTCTTCTCCTCAGCAAGGAAACTGTATGCAAGCTCATATTTCAGAATACCAGGCCATGAAGTCTTGCTGTGGGAAAGCTAAATCCAATAGGCAGGCATACTCAGCTGTGACTTACTGCTATTATCACTTGCTAAATACTTATAAAAATATTAGAGTCAAAAAAAACAGCAACATGCAGGAACAAAAACCAGAATGATTGGCAACACAGACAAAAGCAAGATAGCAAACCCTGAAAAGTTAAGTATGCCACATGCAGTGCTTAAAATGAAAAGTACTCATTTACTGAATATACTGAATGCTTCAAAGTTTCAGGTTCCCAAAATTCTACTTTAAATAAAAAAAAAAAAAAACTATGGGAGTTTCAGATCACTAATACAAAGCTGCAGATAATGCAGCTAGCCAAGTGCAGATTTATAAGGCTCATTTAATTCTCTTGTAGAAGTCTGCTGCCATTATATGGAATATTGCACTATCTATTTTTATTCAACAGAGAATTAGTATGAATCTCAGTTCTTTCTCTCCTCTATGGAGAAAAACCTGGATTGCTTTCTGTTTAAAAAAAAAAGAAAAAAATGAATATATGACCCATCTTTTGAGTTCCCTTTCAACAATCCACTTCCCTTTGCTGAAATTTATTATATTTAATAAGCTTGTTAAAACTGCCGCTTTCCAAAAATGGGAAGTTGCACAGAAATGTAGCATTCTTCTTAAATGTGGTATGTTTTGAGTGAATGTGGGATGCAGCTCAGACTTAGATACTCATCCTACGGTATGAGTATCTAAGTGTACACACAAAAGTGTACACACTTTTGAAGAAGGAAATCAAGGGAATAAAAACTTAATCTCACACCTTTGCAGAGGTAAACCAGAAATTTTTGCTTCTTATTAGCAGCTATACTGAATTGCTCCAGCCTGCATATCTTTATCCTCATAGAGTCAAACACGAAAATCAGCTGAGAAGTACTTCTGTAGATTGGGCACTCTTGCGGTTACCTGTCTAGAAACTAATACATTAGGCTCTCAGATTATATCTTTCCACAGACCTCCCACAAGTAGAACATCCACCATATAAAAAGGCACTAAGTAATTAAAAATCCTCATGAAAATTAACCAACTTTCTAACAGACTGACACAGCTATGTGAAATGCCAGCTGCTCTACATACAAACTCTTTCCTTGAGCAAGATGCAAATGGGATGTATTTTACTTTGTCTCCAAATTGCAGAATGTCCCAAATAGAAAGTTAATGAGTCAAATCTGTTTGTTTAAGCGAAGGTGAAAATTCAAGGAAGCTTGATATGTATGCAGCCATCCAACTTTGCTATCTGGTATTGTTACATTCTGAACTACTTTGAACTTAGGTTGCTGCTGCTTTCTCTCTAATGGTATACTACTATTCAGAAAAGCAAAACAAAGGAAGTTTGGCAAGATTAATTTGCTAGAAGCCTGTAAGTGCTTTTACTTAAGGTTCCATTACCTTCCAGACATTTATTGATTTCCATAAATTATTTATTCTATCACATATTCCACCAAATAGAAGATGCACTCAAGTTCTCCCCTAAAAGCTGCTCATGCTCTTCTCCAGTCTTCAAGACACTTCTCCGGTTCTAGTTAGTGTCACTGTTACTGCAAATTAGTTTGCTAGTTCCCTTGATAAACTCTTGTGACAACTGTTTGGACTTGTTGATTTATTTGTAGGCAGAGTTTTCAAGCAGTGTTTCATTTGTTCCATTGGAGTTCTCCTTTTACTTACATCCATTAAACTCTTATCATGCAGCAGCACACACAGACTTTATTTCTGCTAAACAGAAATAGGATTTGAAGAAAGGCACTTAGTATCTTTGTGATTAATAATTTTATCTTTTTCATCATTTCTTAATGGTCCCTAGTTTCTCTAATGTATTCGTGAAAAAGTTATTTCTATTTTAAAATGCAAACTCAGACCTTTTTGCCATTTCTTATAATACCTCTTATTTGCTTCTTGCTCTGTGCCATTACAGACTAATATACCTTGATTATCATGGATTAAAAACAGCCCATCTCTTTTCAAAAGTAGTAAATTTTAAATACTTCTGGGCATTTAGCACACTGCAGTTTATTTATTTCCTGCAGCATGTTTTTCATTATGCCATCATCTGCAACAGGAGGAATTCCTCAGAACTGCTTTGAGTAAGGGTGACACTGAAGCACACCATGCTAAGATGTTTTGGAAGCCACCTTTCTTCCAAAGTCATTTCAGCATTTAAAACTCTATACTTCATGAAAGCATATTTTGCAAGTCTTCATTATTATTTTGCTTTCATCAGGACCACTTGATGTGCACACTAAGATTGCTAGATCTTATCTTCTAGGGAGTAACGTTTCCTCAAAGAACCAGAAAAGCACAATGCCCAACTTCATTACTTAGCCCTCTGCCTATAAGCTTAGACCAACCTGTCATTAGGGTATGAAACACAGATGCTCTGTTTTGAAAGAAATGATTTGCAGAACAATGCTGGTATTTACAAAACTCAGGATTAGAGAATAAACAAATTAGCAGCTGTTCAGACTGACAGGGTTCTACTGAAAAAATCCTAAGACATGAAAGAGATTTCAGTCATTTGCATTTAAAGACAAAGCCTTTCAAATAATTACCTAATGATAGCGTAATTCCTGCTACAGTCAATTAAATACGTGCCACACACTTGATGAAAGATCTACACTGTTGAATTAAAATAGGAAATCATGTTTCTGTAATGATGCAAATGTAAATTGGAGACATTAAATGTCATTATTTCTTTTGTCCTTAAACGTAGAATGTCTATCATGTAAAGTGAGGTTCAAGAAAATTAGATGTCTTGGAATTAAACTTAAGGTCTAAATCATACTGGGATAGCTTGATTATATATCAAGCAGGAGATTTAACAATTTTTTTTACTACTATTTTTTCTTTCCCCACAAATTTATCCACCACTTCTTATGCAGAGAAACATCAGCTTCTGTTTCACACAAGCTTCTGCACTTTCCATATAGCCCTTAGGCAGAGTCTGTATTCCTGGATGAGACGCACCTCACCATAGCTAAGTAACTGTGTACTCTTCCTTCCCAAAAGAAGAAAAAAATTCTCCAATAAGGCAAGCCAAAAGAAGGGCGTGTACATGTGTGTAAGAACACACGGGTTTTCTCTCTGCATCGCTTGCTGAATTTTCAGACTTCGGTTACTTGATCACCAGACGTGGTTTACACAGGCTGTTATACGGAGCTGAGCATCCAGGAACGCAGGTGATAACAGAATGGTAATCAACAAAGCTGACTTGTGAAACCATACCGAGTACGTACACACCGCATGGAAGCTGCATCATTTCTGGTTTTTGATTAGTTACAGCAGAAGCAAGATTCCCTGATTTTCTTCCTTCTCTTCTTTCAGATGAAGTCAGAAACCGTAAGTTACAGGCACTCCCCATCACCACCTATTCTGTCACTATGTCATGTAGACAGCGAGGACTGTCTAGACTACACTACAGGCACTGGACATCCATGCTTTCAATCAATGGCCACTTACTTCTGCTGGCATTTCACAAAATACATCCCCCTCCATGAAACTTTATTTGTTTTCTTAATAAATGCTACTTTTTAATTCAGCTGTTTAATCCCTCTTTCCCATCCCTCCAATGGATAACCAATCTAAAAATCTAAGTTCTCATCATCCCATTCTTGTCCACTTACATATGTGATCTTAACCCACCTAAAAGTTCATTGCTCTACACCAACATTATCCATCTTGGATGCTAACCATTCTTTTCATTAGTATATCTTTTTTTGTATTATGTTTATGCAGTCCTAACAAGGCATAGAAATATTTTCTATTTCTATGGACTGCTGAGTAGAAGCAGTAAAAGATAGAGCTCTCCTGGAGCAACGAGTATTCACTCTTATTAGCCCATTTCCTCACCACTGAACCTATTTTAACAGACTCCAACGTACAGATGCTGCAGCATCTGTATATCTGTATATCCGCGGCACATTCCACCTTCTCTTTCACTTATTTTTCCGTATTTCTGCATGATCAAAATTGAATAGATTTTTATGTATATATCTATTATTGTTTATGGGTTTTT